AGGACAGTGCGGCTCCCTCGGTTACAAAGTAGCAGCGGGCGGGCTGGGAAGGTCGCGTCCCTGGGAGGCGGGGCGGGAGCGCTGCGCGTGCAGAGCTCAGCGCAGGGGCCTCTTGGCAGAGAGTTCAAGCAGAAACGAAGCCTGGATTTAGCTTCGTGGAGCGACTACCTGGCCGCGAGGCGCAGGCTGGACGGGTCACCTCAGGAGACCTGGTGATGCAGGGGTGAGGGCTGGAGCCGCGTCCTGGGGTCATGCTGAGCAAGAAAAAACTTCAGGTGAAACTGGCAGCTCTCGAAAATTGATTGGATGAGGCAGGTGACAGAGACAGAGACAGAGAGGAGAATGGGATGGCCAACATGCCTCAGGCTTAAGTGACTTGGGTAGACGATGGTGACATTTATTGAGATCCGAAACACAGGACGTGATGGAGGTTTCAGTGGAGGCGGGAGAGAGATGAACCGGCCTGAAGATCCTGTGATGCAGATGAAGCCTTCTGAGCTTTCCTTCTGCGGCCTTGCTTTCCTCGGTGACAGGTTGAAACCAAGGGCGTACTTTCCAGAGAACAGTGTGGATTTTTCTCTCTCTGGTCTCACTCATTCCAGGTGTACTTTCCTCCTTGAAACCTCAGCTCCCTGAGAATTCTGTGGATTATCCATCTTTGCCCCATTCTTGGGTTGGAAGCAGTGGACTTCTGCGACTTCCTGTCTTACACAGAAGCGGAATGTTTAGCTTCTTTGACTATACCTGGTTTAATAAATTTGTATTTATAGCCACAAAACTTCATTCTCCTTTTGCAAGATTTTTTTTCAACTAGTCGAGGATTTGTGCCTTTTCGTATAAAATTTAGAATAAGCTTCCCTATTTCTACAAAAAGGCATGCTAAAATTTTTATAGGAATTTCATGAGACCTGTAGACCCAGCTGGGGAGCACTGACATCTTCACCACGCTGAGTCTTCAAAGCCCATGAACATGCTGTGTCTCTTCTCTTATTTAGGGCTCCTTTCACTTTTTTTCATCAGAATTTTGTGATTTTCGACATACAGGTCCTATGCACATTTTGTTAGGGCTATACCTCAGTACTTCGTTTTCTTTTGAACAATTTTAAGTGGTATTGTATTTTTAAGTTCAGTTTCAACATGTTCACTGTTAGCATATGGAAATGCAGTTGAGTGTCTTGTATCGATTTATGTTCTGTGTACTTGGTAAACTGACTTATTTGTTCTGAGGTTGTTTTAAAAATTGAAAACCCACTCCTTGGGATTTTCTACACGAGCAATTATGTCATCTGCAAATACAGACAGTTTTATTTCTTTACAACCTCCATGTCTTTTTAGTTATTTCTTTTTTTATCTTATTGTGGTAGCTAGAACTTCTAGTGCTGTGTTGATAAGAGTGGTGAGAGCTGACGGCCTTACCCAGTCCCAGGCTCCGGTGGAACACATTCGGTCTTTCTCCGATAGGCACATTAGCTGTGGGCTTTGTGTTTATGCTGTTTAGCAAGTGGGAGCAGTTCCTTTCTGTTCCTGACCTGCTGAGATTTTTTATTATGAACGGTGTCGGATTTTGTCAAATACTTGAACCCTCTCTCTAATGTCTATAACATTACTATCCTACTTCCCTTCCTGAAAGATACTTTTGACAGATACAGGATTTGCAGTTGTGTGATATTGTGATATAATAAGACATATATATTAGGTCTTCATGCCCAGCTCCTGGAGCAGCTCCTAAAACACTTGGAATTTTCTGCCTTGTAAGGAGGAGAAGAGCATCTTTTGTTATTCATAACAAGCCTCAGGTCTCAACTGCACCTGAGTTTAGATAAATGAGGTGACTTTTGGAAAGGACTTAAGGGTAAGGGGTTGGTTGCTAGGGGACCCAACCCAGCTTTCAGTCCCCCCTCCACCCCCACACACTAACCTCTGGGGAGGGAGAGAGACTAGAGTTTGGGTTACTTACCAGTGGCCAGTGACTTCATCGCTCATGCCTGCGTCAGGAAGCCTCCATCAAAACCCTGGCTGAAGAAGCTCAGGGAGCTTCCAGGCTGGGAGACGGCTGCACCCAGTGAGGGTGATGCACCCAGTGAGGGCATGGAGGCTTCGTGTCCCTTCCCCATACCTGGCCCTATGCATCTCACCCATTTGGCTATTCCTGAGTTATATCCTTTATAATAAACCAGTAAACCTAAGTAAGTGTTTCCCTTCGTTCTGTGAGCAGTTATAGAAAATTATCAAATGTGAGGAAGAAGTCACAGGATCTCTGATTTTTTGTAGCCTGTTGATCAGAAATACAGGTGACGACCTGGGACTGGGCTCTGAAACGGGAGCAGGGAGTCATGTGGGGCTGGGCCTGTATCCTGGGGCTCGGTGCTAGCTCTGGGCAGTTAGTGTCAGAATTGAGTTAAATTGTACGACGCCCAGTTGGTATTTGCTCAGAGTTGGAGAATTGGTTGGTGTGGAAAACCCACACATCTGGTGTTAGAAGTGTTGCGTGATTAAAGGGAAGCAGGTTTTCCTTGAGGTTGATAATACTTTGCTTTCAGCACTTAAAAAACATTGTGCAGCTTCCTCTGGCCTCCATAAAAAAGGCTTGTATTCCATCTCATAATTGCCTATCATTCCAGGCAGGTAATGCATCATTTCCCTCTGGTTGCTTTCAAGATATTGCTTTCCTCTTTTTAGTGTTTCAGTTTTTTAAAAGACTTTATTTTTTAGAGCAGTTTTAGGTTAATAATAAAAATGAGAGCAAGACACAGAGATTTCCCATCCACTCCCTGCCCCACACATATGAAGCCTCTCCCAATATGAGCATCGCTCACTCCTTTTTTTTAAACCAAGAATGAATCTGTACTGATGCGTCCTGATTACCCAGAGCCCATAGTTTACATTACGGTTCACTTTTGGTGTAAACTCCAGGGATCTAGACAAATGTGTAATAATGACATGTCTCCGTCATTATAATACCGTTTAGAGTGTTTCGCTGCCCTGAAAACCCTCTGCTGCACATATTCCTCCTCTCTCCTCCCAACCCATGACACTGCTCTTTTATTGTCTCCATAGTTTTATCGTTTTGAGGATGTCATACAGTCAGAATCATACAGTATGAGCCTTTTCAGATTGGCTCCTCTCACTTAGTCATATGCATTTAAGTTTCTCCATGTCTTTTTATGGCTTGATGGCTCATTTCTTTTCATTGCCGAATAATATTCCATTGTCTGGACGCTGGATGCACCACAGCTGACTTACTCATCTACTGAAGGGCGTCTTGGTTGCCTCCAAGCGTTGGTAATTATAAATAAAGCTGCTATAGACATCTGCGTGCAGGGTTTTGTGTGGAAATAAGTTTTTAATTCGTGGTTAAGTACCAAGGAGCTTGATTGCTGGGTGTGTGGTTAGTTTTGTAAGGAACTTCTAAACTCCTTCCCAAGTGGCTGTCCCACTTTGCATTGCCTGCTGCTCACACGCTCACCAGCCCTGGGCGTTGGCAGTGTCTGGATTGGGGTCACCCTGGTAGGTGTGTCAGTGCTGCTTTAATCGGCATTCCCATGATGAAATAGGATCTGGACTGTCTTATATATTTATTGGTCATTTGTATATCTTCTCTGGTAAGGTGTCTATTAAGGTCTTTGGCTCATTTTTAATCAGGTTGTTTGTTTTCTTACTGTTGAATTCTAAGAGATCTTTGTATATTTTGAATAAGGCTCTTAGGAGATGTGTCTTTTGTAAATTTTTTCTCCAAATCTATGACTTCTCTTCTTATTCTCTTAATATTGTGTTTCACAGAGTAGAATTTTTTAATTTTAATGAAGTCCAGCTTATCAATGATTTCTTTCATGAATCGTGTCTTTGGTGTTGTATCTAAAAATTCATCACTGTATCCAAAGTCATCTAGGTTTGCTCCTATACTATCTTCTAGGAGTTTTATAGTTTTGCATTTTATATTTAGGGCTATGATTTATTTTGAATTAATTTTTGTGAAGGATGTAAGGTCTGCGTCTAGATTTTTCTTTTTTTTTTTTGCATGTGGATGCCCAGTTGTTCCAGCACCAGTTTTGAAAAGAAGACATTTGCTCTATTGCATTGCTTTTGCTCCATTGTCAAAGATCAGTTGGCGATATTTATGGAGTCCGTTTCCATCCCGTTATCTGTCTGTTCTTTCACAATGCCACACTGTCCTCATTACTGTAGCTCTGTAGTAAATGTTGAGGTTGAATAGCACCAGTCCTCCGACTTCGTTCTTTTTAACATTGTGTTGGCTATTCTGGATTCTCTGTCTCTCCATATAAACTTCAGAATCAATTTGTGAATATCCATGCATGACTTACTGGGATTTGGGTTGCTGAAAGGAAAATAGATCTTTAGCTAATTCTGATTGTGTTCAGGAGGAAAAGTTGTCAGATGTAAGGAATAAAATGCTATATGATCTTAAGAAGTAAAAAAATATAGTAAAAACATATGTCAGCCGCCTTTGTATTAGGGGGAAAATAGGGTAGAATGCCTATAGTGAATCTAAGACAGTTTCTTTCACTGTGATTCTAATGACCTTCAAGGAAAAATTTTAAATAAAATAAAGGACCATGGTATTCGTTTTTGTGGGTTAAAATACATTACCACCTCAATCATCAAAACCACAACTAGAAAATTACATCATATTATGTATGTTATATTGATGATGTTGATCATAAAACTCTTCTTCTTTTACAAATATTACTTAAGATTCTAAAAAAAAATTCAGGATCCTTGCCTGGTTCTTATATTTATATATGTTCTATCTAGTTTCTGGTAATTCCTTGTAAATTAATCTAGAACTTTTAATTAATTATCCAAACTACAGCAAAATGTATATTATCCAGTTTCTCATACTTTTCTTCAATAAACTTAGGCATTTAAATAAGATGAAATTAGGGCAATTTTTATCAGCTTAAAATCTAGAGAGGACTTCATCAAGGCAGAGCAACCTGGAGCAGTTGCTTACAATCTTGCCTGAAACAGCTAACAAACCAGGCCAGATGGAAATATTTGGAGAGTATATCCGTCATTCATTTAAAATATTTTTATTAAAGATTTTTCAGATATTGGACAGAAGGCAACACAGGGCTGTGATCCCTGAGATGAAGGAAGTCAACAAGACAAGACCTGAGCTTGCTGCCTGCAAGCAGCTTCCAGGGCGCGACGCAGAGGGGGAATCCAGATGGAGCCCAGCGTCCCTGCTGAGCTGAGGAGACAGATGGAAATGCAGGGGCCCAGGCAGCTGCTCTGTGGGACGAAGCACAGAGAGGAGGAATCTGCACGGGGGGTTCCAGAGAGCCACAGAGGGGTCCCATGGAGCCTCTGGCTGAGCTCTGAACCGTGCATGCCTGTGAGACAAGGACCGAGGACAGGAAAGAACAGCTAAAAGGCAGAAAAAGTCCTCGGGGCTTGCACAGGTCTGGAAATAGCTCACATCTCACCAGCTGGAGTGGAAAGATGATCTAATATTTAGGGAAGCCAGTGGAGTCCTAATAAGACTATTGAAATCTAAACTCCCTCTAACGAAGCTGAAAATTCATTTGTTTTTGTTTGTTTGTTAATCCTCACCCCAGGATATTTTTTTCCAGTGGTTTTTTAGAGAGAATGGCAGGGAGGGGGAGAGACAGAGAGAGAAACATGGGTGTGAGAGAGACACATCGATCGGGTGCCTCCCGCACACACACAACCAGGGCCGGGGATCGAGCCTGAGACCCTTCAGTCCACGGGCTGACACTCTAACCACTGAGCCAAACCAGCTAGGGCTAAAAATTAATTCTTGAAAAGATCAAACGGATTCCAAGTACTGTGGTGGCATCCCAGAACAAAGCCCCAAAATATCTAAAGGATTACAGCAGACTCAGCAAACAACAACATAACATTCACAACGTTCAGCATCCAATGAAAAAAATTACCATCCATACAAGAAGCAGGGAAGTATGACACATAACCAGGAGAAAACTCAGTCCATGGAAACATGCGTGATGCAGACGAAGGGGCTAGCAGGAAAGGGTGGACAGCTGCTGGGATTATTCTCCCCGTGGTAAAGGCTGAGGAAAAGAGGAGCATGGTAAAGAGACAAACCGAAGGTTTAGAACACATCCAAATGGAACTTCCAGTGATTAGAAATACAATTTCTAAAATTAAAAATAGCCTGACTGGATTAACAGCGTAATAAACATTACATAAGAACAGATCAGTAAACCTAAATAGGAAACAAGGGAAATTATCCACAAGCAAGGACAGAGAGAAATAAATAAACAGAGCGTCAGTATCCTTTGAGACACTACCGAGTGGTCCAGCATATTGTAGTTGGAGCCCCAGAAGGAGGGAGGTAGAAAAAAATACTTGAAGAAATGGGGGCCAAAATATTTCAAATTTGATGTTTACCTTGGATCCAAGATGTTTACTAATCTGTAAGCAGAATAATCACACAGAACACCACCAACCAGGGAGAGAGTCCTCACGAGACCTCACCACGCTGACACTGGGTTTACTGATAACTAATGAAAACCAGCAAAATTTGTCGAGGTGAAAATTTAGCTACTTTCACTTGTGCGCCATGCTTGTTTTAGGAAACCGTTTATTAAGTAGCAAGACGTTTACTATGGGAAATGGCAAAGGCTCATTTGAGCTATAAAATGGTCTCAGTAGTGTCCCAGTAACTTATTTGACCCATGACGATATATAGTTGATAAAGTCGGATAGAGGGATAGATGAAAGACATATTCTTTTTTTTTTAGAGGAATGTAGAGGGAGATAGATCAATGATGAGAGAGTCATTGATCAGCTGCCTCCTGCACCCCCCCCCCACCGGGGATCGAGCCCAAAACCCGGGCACGGGCCCTGACCGGGACTCGAACCCTGACCTCCTGGTCCAGAGGTCGATGCTCAGCCGCGGGGCCACGCCGGCCGGCCGGGTGAAAGACATATCCTTGCCAGTCAGAGATCTTCAGGTCCCTAGTTTTAAGTTTACTCCT